CTTTCATTGAAAAATTAACGAAGAAGCGCGTTGGTTCTGAGCAAGACGCGTGAATCTTGCGAGTTCAATGGGTAAATCAGCGCTAACCTGTGTTGATTCACCTTGTTTTGAAAGACGTCTCTTTGATGTATCATCCTTATGGCATCTTGTCATCAAATTTGCTTGCTTTTATAAAATATACCATAAATATAAATTGAACACCAGCATACTTTTTATGTGGAGAAAATCTGTTTGAGCCTTATATCTTTCTGTTTTCTAATGCTCTCTTTACTTTTTTGCGACCTTCTTCATTTTCATCTCACTCAATCTTAATGATCCTCTCCTATAACAATCTAAATATCGCATGATCCATCCTTATGCGAATCTTACAACCAAAACTGAGGAGGAAATAGTATTTATGAAAAACTGAATGAAAGCGTTATAAAGCGTTAAAATAACTTCAATGTCCCAAACCTTGGGGTAGAGGAGGTAACAAAAGTGCGATACTAAATAATAGAAAGTTTTTAAGTCGGAAATAATGGTGGTTTTCTAATCACATTATAATTGTCGTTAAGATTGGAAATTGGTGTCAGTTCAACCATCCAAGCATTTTGTTTTTACGTCTGAAGATATACCGTTCAAATAATAAGACCCGCAAAGTTTGGCACAAATGAACTCTTAGAAGAAGTTTTCTATAATAAAGATTATGGTAAATAAGCTTTGCCATTTTGTCATTTTTGAATCTCACGTGGTATTGCGTGTCTTATTATATTCCATACCAGAGAATGCTTAGACTTATTAGTGTGTCCAGCTGGTTTTATTTAGAAGACATTTTCTTTAACGGCACAAGGAAATTACAGTAGGAGCGCCTTTAATGCAATTATTGTTAATGATTTTATACTCATGATACTAACAAAAAGCGCATTATAATTCTAGAAAGCAATGTTTACTACAATCTTTATGAAAAAAGCATTTGACTGTGTGTTTACAGCAATACGATCACTAACGATAAATTTCCTTTACACTCTTTTTTTAAAAGCAGTATGTATGGTTAGCAGGAAGGCAAGTAAAAATGTATTACCGCCTACTCACCCAGAAGTCTGAGCAGTCGTTGTGGTATTTGATCATATGCTATCTATCTTTCTTTCCTCTTTATCATCGCCTCTCGAAGTGTTTTATTTAGAATCATTTCTCTGTATAAACTAAGAGTTTATTGAAATCACTTTGACAAGGTCAGATTTCCTGGAGGGCATCCATTGAGCCCCCATTCTTTAATGTTCATATTGAAATAGAACAAATGATCAGAGCCGTCATGATTGGACACGGTGTTACTACAGTAGTCCCCATCAGCCTCTTGGCAAATCGTGTACGGTTGTCCAACAGCCATATCATTATCATACCTAAAATTTCCTAATTAGGCGACAGCTCATTGTGATTGTTGCTAATTTCAGTAATAGATAACGCACCAGACTTCGTAACGATTATGGAACGCCATGTCGGCCCCAAACCTTGGAGGCGAATGGGGTATAGGATCGTGGTGGCTTATAACGCGGTAAGAGTAGAGAAACTGAAGAATAATCAATTTATTAATTAGCTTACAAAGGTTAAGAGAACAATCACCTTGTGAGATTCAATAGAGCAGGTGATTTAAAAATAACAAACAAATTTTGTAGAATGACGGAAAACATTGAGTTCTTATTGATTATTACTTACTGTAGCGTCATGCCACGCAGCAAAATCGTAGTCGCCAGTTCTAGGCTCGCCATATGTGATAAGTCTGAGGTCTTTTGGTGCCCACATCCCCCATTTCAAAATGTACGAAGCAGCTACAGTCGCGATTGATGCTCCCATAGAATGACCCGTAACCTTTAAAAAAAACTTGCTCTGCCATGTGACCAAACGATGGTTCACAATCAACAGCTTAATGACTGTAGTGCTTTATAATGGACTTACGTAAATCTTGTAGTCTGGATATTGGTACTTGAGCGTGCGGACCTGTTGCTCAAGGCCTCCGTTCCAGAGGAACATGAAAGCGTCATTGAAGTACTTGATCAAACGCCCGTTATCAAAAAAGGCTATCTTTTTCCTATAAATATCTGACTGACTCATAATTTTACAAAATTAGTTTAGTCGTACTGAAGAAGGCTACTGTATTCTAAATCTAGTCCTTGTAGTTCAGAGCTGACGCCAATGAAGACGATAATGATAGCTTTCTCCACTGGATCCCAAGCGGAATAGCCGTAACAGTGGACGTCTAAAGGAAAATCACATTTTCACAGTTAGAAAATGTAAGATATGAATGTGGATTACCGGTCTGCTCTTTGGCGCATTGAACGCGAATGTTTTTGTAGTACGCAACATGAGGAAGAAGCCTTAATATGCGTATAATTTTATACAAAGTAAGCTAATGGAGTCACAATGAGTTTAAAAGGCGAAGAAAATAAATCAGTAGCACCGAAAAAATGGGGATATTTGCGTTTGATATTATTGGTAAACGCAACATACTAAGTTGACTGGTACGTTGAACAAAAATTCTCAAAAAATTCAATGGATTAGAAAGTTAAAAGTGCTATGAAATTATTGATTGCTCGGTATTAACAATTTGAGTCATTTGAACACAATTGTAATCTGATTTCAATATTTTCATTGCAGTGAAAGCTGATAATGAGGTTGCAGACAAGGAAGGACAAGACTTTTTGCAATTGACTTCGTACGTCTGCTTATGAGTA